CCCTTATTCAGCGATAGAAGGCCCACTAAAGTCAGTAGATTCGATATCTCCGGCCCTTATTCAGCGATAGAAGGCCCACTAAAGTCAGTAGATTCGATATCTCCGGCCCTTATTCAGCGATAGAAGGCCCGCTAAAGTCAGTAGATTCGATATCTCCGGCCCTTGTTCAGCGATAGAAGGCCCACTAAAGTAAGTAGATTCGATATCTCCGGCCCTTGTTCAGCGATAGAAGGCCCACTAAAGTAAGTAGATTCGATATCTCCGGCCCTTGTTCAGCGATAGAAGGCCCACTAAAGTCAGTAGATTCGATATCTCCGGCCCTTATTCAGCGATAGAAGGCCCACTAAAGTCAGTAGATTCGATATCTCCGGCCCTTGTTCAGCGATAGAAGGCCCACTAAAGTCAGTAGATTCGATATCTCCGGCCCTTATTCAGCGATAGAAGGCCCACTAAAGTCAGTAGATTCGATATCTCCGGCCCTTGTTCAGCGATAGAAGGCCCGCTAAAGTCAGTAGATTCGATATCTCCGGCCCTTATTCAGCGATAGAAGGCCCACTAAAGTCAGTAGATTCGATATCTCCGGCCCTTGTTCAGCGATAGAAGGCCCACTAAAGTCAGTAGATTCGATATCTCCGGCCCTTGTTCAGCGATAGAAGGCCCACTAAAGTCAGTAGATCCGATATCTCCGGCCCTTGTTCAGCGATAGAAGGCCCACTAAAGTCAGTAGATTCGATATCTCCGGCCCTTATTCAGCGATAGAAGGCCCGCTAAAGTCAGTAGATTCGATATCTCCGGCCCTTGTTCAGCGATAGAAGGCCCACTAAAGTCAGTAGAATCGATATCTCCGGCCCTTATTCGGTAATGTCAGGCCCACATTTTGAGTAATAGTATCGGACCTGGGCACTACTAATATACCTGGGCAGGGCTTCAACAGCAGCCGTCTCATGCTCGTGTGTGCATGTTTTATCATATAACATTCTCACTGCTATATTATATTTTCACTGTTTTTCTCACCCCTGTCAACTGTAGAGCTCTATTTCTGTACACTCTACATAACACTTGTGCAGAGCTACCAGAACAAACTCCTCCTCTTCCTCCTCCTCCTCTTCCTCCTCCTCCTCCACTTGCTATGTGCAGAGCTACCTGGTTACCTGGTTACCTGGTTACCTGGTTACCTGGTTACCTGGCTGGTTACCTGGTTACCTGGTTACAGAGCGCTACCAGGACAAACTCCTCCTCTTCCTCCTCCTCCACTTGCTATGTGCAGAGCTACCTGGTTACCTGGTTACCTGGTTACCTGGTTACCTGGTTACCTGGTTACCTGGTTACCTGGTTACCTGGTTACCTGGTTACCTGGTTACTTGGTGACTTGGTAACTTGGTAACCTGGTCAGATAACACTCGTGCAGACTGCAGAGCGCTACCAGGACAAACTTGTAGAAATCTATTTTTAGATTGGTGTTTGGGTTGAGTCTGAGATGGTGGAAGGAATTCTGGCGATGTGGTAGAAGTATTTTGACGGTGTGGTAGAAGTGGGTGGGCTGCTTGCTCGCCTACTTCGCACCTACTTGACATTCCTTGCTTTTATAATAGAACACCTACTCCTTTATAATGCACCTACGTCAATCATCGTTTAACAGCTTTCGGTTTCTTTATAAACTGGGATTTGTTGATAGGAGACATGCTTTCAGTTTCAATGTTTCACATTCTTTTGTCCACGTCACAATGTTGTTTCAGTGACAATTTACATGTCGTCTTAGTTTCAATTTCAATACCCAATCTTATTTTAATTGCTCATTGTACATTCTAATGGAATCGTACGTTCCAGTTCAATCTTGTGTTGATTGATTTATCTCTCCAATTCTCTCTAAAGTAAAGCAAGTATTTCTCTTCGTTTTGAACTGCAAAAGTTTCAGTCATAATTTTGATCCGTTCTTACGTTAACATTTCCTGTTTGCTGCTCAGCTGACCTAAACCGTTGGATGAAATAATGATCCACAAAATTATGATCCTAAAATAGATTTCTGATGAATTCCATTGACTATTACTAACGGCTCACCAGTCACCACTAGTCACTAACAAAATAAGCAGTTCCTTAGGCCAGCAACACCCTCCTTGAAATATGAGAGAAGTCGTGACTTGTGACCATGCAATGGTTATTATTGTTATTGGGGCTTCTGCCAGTAATCTCTTTAATTAGATGATATGTTGTTAGAGATAATATCTTATAGTTAAGTTACCTAGATGATATCTTGTATCTTCTGAGGTTGTAGTAGTTTCCCAGCTTTTTCCGAGTGAATTGTTTTGGAAGCGTAGTACGACGTTTCCTCGCTTTCACGTACCCTTGGCATCAGTTGAAAAGGATACTACATCAGGCAATGGGAATATAATACTACGGAACCTACAAATAAGCGATACTGCCAACTTTATTGTCGTTGTTTACTCCGTAAACTAAAACACACACCCATTTTGTTGAGAGACGTGTCATAAGTTTTCAGTCCGATATCACCTCACTCAGAGACCCCCTGACTATTAGGTGAAGGCCCCCCCTCCCCACCCTCCCGTTTATCACGAACAATCTAATCTCGTTAGTCTGGATAACGGTGTAAATTTGAAGATTTTAGTCTGGATCTTCAACATCGAAGCGCTAATAAGCCTGCTTCAAATACGAAATCGTTTTCCTCCGGCGGTTTATCAGAAGATTTTAGCGCGATATCACACCACCTTTTGGAAACCCCAAGATTTGTTGGGTGCGATGCAAGAAGTCCAATAGATGTTGAATTCTGAAGAATGGTCGTCGTGAGCGTGACCTAGTGAGGAGGTTTTTAAGGTATATTAATATCGACCTGCTCCTTTATAATACACCTCGTACTTCCTCTGTCCTATTAGCGATAGTAATTCTGTGGCACATGTGCGGGCACGAGTTCATTAGAAACAGAGAGTGGAGACTTTCCTTGAGATTACCACCTTAAAAATGTGTACCCAATACCTCCCTTCTCAATGATTTGGTGGCTTTCCGGCTTGATCCTGGTTTGGAAAATATATTTTTAGAATATTCTGATTTTCTGAATATTCCACAGAATTCTCCTACCGACTCAAAGTGCCGGCTGTCAGCCCTCTGTCCAACTCTGTATCACCATCATTCCAGGACGGATCCATCCAAGGGTTGCAGTGCTGCCTATATAAAGTATAAGGGTTAGGTATTGGATAAAGTACTCTCCTGCTATTTTTATCAGGTTTAACGCTAAATGAAACGCCAACTTGCTCTAAAACTGTTGACAGAAACCACCTGTCTTTGTGTCTCATAACCCGGCTGAACTTAACTGAAAACAGGTGGGCAACTTAACCTGAACCGCCAAATTATAATCGCTGTTGTTTGATGGATATGGTGGGGGAAATGATGAAGATTATTATCGCTTTGATGAGAAAGCAAACGAATCTGCGCCTGTTCAACAGTGGATCTCTTGGCATAACTGTGTGATGTTTTGATTGAAGTAGGGCAGAGTGTGAGTCACGTGACTCTGCAAGGAAACCACGTGACCTGATCAGATTGTCACGTGACAAGTTGTCCGATCACGTGATGTCAGATCCGCCTGCAGATCAGTGTCTGTGGTCTCCTTATCTCCAGAGGAGACATTCGGAAACTAGGGCAGACTCTCCGGTAGAAATGTATTAGGGATGTTATCGGTTACTGATTCCACTAAACACGTGGACGGATTAGCTGAATTTCCTCGCTTGGTTAAAATCAGACCCTGTTATCGTTTGATCAAATAGAGCGTCCCTATTGGTTGATGGATATCACGTGGTACAGATCATGTGATATGCCGCATACTGAAAATATTTGGCAGCGTCTACTCCAACTGTGTCGCTTGACTTTTTCATTAGCTTCACCTAGTCTCGCTGGAGACAACCGTGAATTCTTGTTATGAATTACGTATTATAATATTAGGAATAGTTGACACGCGGATAAGTCGTTCAATATTTTATGTTTTCTCCTCCGCATTTTGTTCTTAGTGATTTTGAGACACACGGTTAGTTTTCATTCCTCCTCGACATTCCTCTTCAACATTCTTCTTCAGACCCCTTTATCTTTCTTCGTTAGATGTTTAAAGTATGTATTTCTGAGGTTTTAAAAAATCAATTTGAGCCAATTATAACTTTAATTACTACAGCGGTAGTATATTATTAATTTACTATTATTATTATTTTAATATATAATAGAAATTTCCTCGCCTTTGTTTTGTAAGCATGGCATCATTGATAAAATTCACAATTTTTTTAAATATGTTCAATTGTCATTCACAAGGTATAAAGTTTAGCTTTGTTTTTTAGTAGTCAAACTAAAACATTGATCTAAACACTAGGCCATTCGCTCCTGACTGTCCAGAAAAAAAAACAGTTTTTCACATTGCACCACCTGACAATCAGAACACAGATATCACTCAAATCTTCATGTCATCTTCTCTCTTGACTTCAGCTCGTTATTTGATTTATAGATTCATTGACAACAAAATGATTATACTGGCCAACTTTTCCATACCTCATCTACGGCCTATCGTAAGTTTAGGTCTTACGTTTTTAAATAACTAATTAATTTATACTATGTTTAATGATATAGAGGTTGTAGAATATATAACCCCTCCCTCATGATTTATTTTCTTAATTATAACTTGGACGGATTCCAACGACTATCTTCTAACCCTAACGACTCTTTAATATGACCATAATTACTTACTGATAGGCGGTATTCGTATCCGAAGTGAAATCATCCCTAAAATTAGTTACTGTTTTTGTAATTAGATTCGTTGTAAACTTTGAACCGGGAATCGTACTACTGATAAACGATTTGTTGAACCTTTCATTTGTAAACAATCCCAACAAGTGGGGTCGTCATTGTTATCATTGTTCTTTATCAATTAAGTGTGATAAGCTAATCCTACCTTTCAGTGAATTAAAATAGTTTATAATTGGACTGCCATTTCTAATGAGGATATTTTTCAGAAAACGGAAGAAAACGACTGAAGATGCGCCGAACAGGAATGGAGAAAAAGAGAAACTTTGCTTGCAGGTTTGCTTACAATTAACAATTTAATTTATCAATCAAGTTAATTAATTTACTGAATGAAATTAAATTTTCAGGATAAACGATTCCCTAGCCATCACTCGGTCACACATATTCAACGTGTGTTCAAGCTTAATCAACTTACCTTCTAAATTGTTAATTGTATTATTATTTAATTGGTTGACTAATTAGCGAATTAACTCAGGATCGACACGTGACATGCAAGCTCCACAGAGACGATCTTAAGACTTACGTACAGTTACCAAAGGGCGTAGAAGAGGAAGAATGGATCGCTACTCACAGTGAGTTTCTGATTAGCACTCTTGAGTCTTGTATTATCAAGACCATTCTTCCCACGTACATCATTAATTTGGCGAATTATATAGTTGACAATTTAATGTCATGACTAATGCCACCTCACCTCGCAGCGATTAAGTTATACGACAATCTGCAGCTAATAACGAACTGCCTGACAGAGTTTTGTACAGCGGAGAATTGTCCTGTCATGTCTGGCGGACAGAATCTGTAAGTTGGGTCTTATAACTTACTTTATTATTATTTAATTACCTTTTAACTTACCTTATTATTATTTAATTACCTTTTAACTTACTTTATTATGATTTAATTACTTTTAACTTACTTTAATACTATTTAAAACGATTAGGGGGAAGAGCGTCAAAAAGTTCTTGTTATTCAAGATTAGAATGTAAAATATAAGGGTAAGGTAGAATCACTTTAAAAGTTTAAACGACCAAGTCATTTGACATGCTCGTTAAGCTGACCCCTCCTATTTTCAGTATATTTTATTGGGTTAGTGAGCGAAACAAGAAAATGCGACCCACGGCTCCGACTTATATTGAAATGGTCATGAGCTGGACGGAGAAACAAATCAAAGACGAAAATGTCTTTCCTACCAAATATGGTGAGTGTTGATTATTATTAATTAGTTAGTTATTAATTATTAGTTATCTTTCTGTCCTCCTCAAATCGTTGACCTATGTTTTTCTTGAAAAATATATAATTTTCAAAGTTATGTAAATTGATTAATTAATTAACTAATTAATTAACTAATTGGTGATTTGCTCTCAGGTAATCAGTTCCCTCCTACGTTTAAAGACACTGTGAGGAAAATGTTCAGATTCTTTTTTCATATAATAGCTCACATATATTACTCCCACTTTCAAGACGTAAGTACCATTTAATTAATTAACAAATTGGATGAATAATTAGTAATTCATTAGCTATGTAATCAAGCGATTTCTTCAGTTATATAGTTTCTAGAATAATTGATGCGAAGAATTCTTATGACACACGATTAAATATTCTCGTGAGAGCAACTCGTTTATTAAAAATAACCTTGAGACAATTTTAAAATTGTAACCAATTAATGATTAATTAAATAACCTTAAATAATAAATAATTTATTTTCAGGTGATAAATTTCGAGTTAGTACCACACCTGAACACTCTATTTCACCACTACGTGCTCTTCTCCCAAGAATTTAACTTAGTGGAAGACAAAGAAATGGCTCCCCTAGAGACCCTTATTAATCTGCTAATTGGTACTAATTAGTCCTTAAAGGGGATAATTACTGACTGATTAATCATTGGTCGGTGGGAGTTAGCTGAAAGAGTTGTGAACTGAATGAATGGTCTGGGTAGAGATTCGGGTCCGATCATGTAAGATAGGAATTTCAAGAACGATAGTCTGAGAAGTCATGAAATCCTGGGGCTGTAGTTTCGGTAAAATAACCCTGAAATCTAGATAAAGAGCAAATTGGAGATTTGTCATCCTTTTTAGGTTTGACTATAGCTAAGCTTAACACCGCTCAAAGTCAAAGCTGTTATTCTACCGAGCAAAACTGAAAACTTGTTGCCCGACATGATAATTAGGGATAATTTGATTATTATCAGTTAATTATAGGATCGGGAGTAGAAATGTTGATTAAACGCGGGGCGTGGAATGTATTTGTGTGGGTCACGTGATATTGTTGTCTTTGTCACCTGTTGCCTTGGCAACAATCATCTCTGCTTTCAATGAAGGGACAAAATTTGTCCGAGTAACGATATTCATATATCCTTATATATTTGTTTTCAACGACCTGAGACAACAGTTATCAACAACATTGTTGTAAAATATGTTGTGTAGTTGTATTGTTGTTTTTTTCTTGCGTCGAAATATATGATAGATTTCTTATTTGTGTTTTGTACGACTATGTCTATATATTCTAAATGAAAAGAGAAGGTTGTAGAAAGTTTCCCCGACATTAGTTTTTACATCTTCGAGATAATTTAATTATTTAGGTTTGATGAATAATACCTTAAAAATACTACGAGTAAGTAGACTAACTGTTTAGCTCTTAAACTACGTTCTAGATTTAGTACTAATGGTCAGTGTCGATTACGCGGTAATTTTCGTTTCATTCGGGGTAATTAAAAAGTAGAGTACCGAACTGGTAATTTCGGTAAATTTGTGTCTAATCAGTCGTTAATAATCGGAATCGTAAAGGCCATGGGATGTTTTGATTTTCCATAGAAATAGTTATAAATGTGTGAAAACTAGAATAGTGGCCCATGAATTCCTCGCATTCTTTAGACTTATACCTTACATTATTTAGTATGGTTTATTACTGTGAATTGTTGATCAGATGTGTGGGAATTTGTACTGAATGACGTCATATATCTGACATCGTGACGTCACGTGAACACGTGACGTCGCGTGATGTTTGCACGTACTCAGATCCCACTTTAAAAGTGCGGCGCTAGCTGGCGTTGCCCAGATTCGTGTCCACTCCGGGCATGCTGCTGTTGTAATTGTAATTTATTGCAATTTTAGTTACAAAATTAATCATATTATGATTGTTGCCTACGTTTGGAATAAAGTGTTTTATTTTGTTATTATACAGTGTACAGAGAAAAGGAGCGCTGAACCAAAATATACATATATATATAATGAACCAGAAGATGGCTTTATCTCCGTGATCTTGGTAAGGTTCAAATACAATCTTACAGTAAGTACTTGGTACTGTAAATATTAAATTACCCGAAATTGGACATACGCTCGCGCTTGATCACAATGCTGGCAAGCATTACCGTCGCCCTTATATTCACAATACTATTTACCCCCTATACTAGTAATAGTATATCCCCTTTATTGTTTTTCAGGCATTAAGACTCATCGAAAGTAGTTCAGCAGGTATATTTAAGTTCAAAACATTCTAATTCAATGTTAAAGATGACAGGAATAAGAAATAGTTATGTGGAGGTTTTTAAGAAATTTGCGCAAAATACGCGCCAGCATGTTATACGAAATTAGGTAAAAAACCCAAAATCGCCATATTCAGGTGCCTTAAAAACCATGTTAAAATTGAGTTAGAGATCTGAAACTTTGCAGGGCGTCTAGACCTTGTCCAAATCGACTGTTAAAAAAATTTCATGTTTCAGGAGTATCGGGAAGTGGGTTTTCTGGAACCCCTGTTTTACAACAGATTGTCGTGAAGTATATATATATATATTAATATATCCATAGACACAGTGTTTCGTCCTATTAGGACTCATCAGTATGGCTCAAATCACCAGGGTTGGTTTTGCTGATGGCGGGTATCGATCCGGCAACCTTACATTACATATTAATATATGTATGTATAGACGCTTTTGAAGTCAATTGTAGCCTACATTTAAGTGTCCGTAGATTCAAAAGTATAAAAGATACAGTCATTTCGAACCACAGGTTTTGAAGATAATTGTTTATACTTTAGTTTACATTATATCAAAAAATAATTTATCTTCATCATCATCACTTGATGACGTCATCAAATTAAGCGTTTTTAAAACTTGATTTTTGACAAAGTAACAACTTTTCAAATCGATTTTAAACCATTAAGGAGTAATTTTATTCAAAATCTGAGGACATTTTTACCATAGATAATTGTTTAAGCATTCTGAAAATCTACCGGAAAAGTTTCTTACTTTGCTCCTTCATAAAGATATTCGCTATTGAAGTAAGTGCTTTTTTGAAGAATAATTTTATAAAAACACAAAAGTTGTGAATTAGTATTCTCTGGTGTTGGGCCATCCCTTGGGTTGTGGAGCTCAATTTTGCTTTTTAAAGGTCTAAATTGTGTTATAGGCTAGTTTTAAAGTTGAAAATCAAAAAGTTGCACACGTTGGGACACGCCCAATTTGATAGAAAATTGCTAAAATTACTGAAAATTGCTGTTTTCACACCATTTTTATCAACTTTGGAGTCTCGTTGTAATCCAAGTTCTATATGAAATCTTCTGAAACTTTGCATGCTTATTAAACTATATATAAAATACTGCTATGCAAAAATTTACGGTGATTCAATATTGTATCCGCACGCAACGTCCGCTCAAAGTTTGCACGTGCGAAAGGTGAGAATTTTCCTCATTCGTGATTTCGAATAAATTCTGCTTTCCCACGATATTTAAATGGCATTATATATGAATTTAATGCCAACTTGAATAAGTAAAAAGTGCCATATTCAGTCAGGTAAAATTTCGAAATCGATGAAATTACCTCCTAATTATTAATATAAATATTAATGAAGTTATGAGTTTACATTTCGGCTTTGTAAATTATCCTGACATTATAATCAAAAAGAGATGATATTTGACCAAAACCCATAATCATGGGTAGAGTGTACCGCTGCCAGTGTCTCTCTTTTCCAAACAAAAGGAAATGATATTAATTTGAATAACCGTCCGAAAATGCAAATTGATACCGAGAATGAAATCGGTCGCTCGCTTTTTCCATTCGATCACGGCTTACGAATTGTAATATTATATATATAAAGCTTATTGATTGGAAAAAGCGAGCGACCGATTTCATTCTCGGTATCAATTTGCATTTTCGGACGGTTATTCAAATTAATATCATTTCCTTTTGTTTGGAAAAGAGAGACACTGGCAGCGGTACACTCTACCCATGATTATGGGTTTTGGTCAAATACATAATACTAATAGTAATACAGATACAGTGTAAAGTCCATCCTAAACTTACTTTCTAAATAATTCGTAAACGGTGCAGGATAATTTCCGTAAACCTAGTAACAAGTAAACAGTTTTGTGGAGTATGAGTTCTTAACGGGGGAATCGGAGTTTTAATTTTATATGTTGCCATGTTCACCATTGCAACCACAGCCGTTTCCCTGGCCTTGTTGTACGACCCGCCGCGCACGAGTGCGCGGCTCCCCTGTATCGTAATAACGATAAAGTGAAACGACTGTTAGTAGAGGCTCTTACGGGCAAATAAGGCACTCTTCTGCTGGAGCCCCTAGGCTCCTGGGATGATTGTTTTATGGATTAGTAAGTAGTGCCACATCGATAGCCGATCTCAGATGCCACTATGGAGGCTGATAATTGACGATGTCAATTCATCTCAGATCGGCGCGGCACAGTAGCAACATGTTGTCGTTAAAGGTTTGTTATCTTAAAAGCGTTATCTTTACAGCCACAATGCGGGTGTAATTATCTTCTTTTTCGGTTAAATGATTCGTTTAAAATATAATTATAAGTACGATGTCCTTGTTGTAGTTATACTTATGGAGTGTGTTGCTCTATTTCTAACCCTATTCCTACTAAACAAATGAAGACTCATTTATCCTACGCTACTGCTCTGGATGTTTTTATAGCTTAACCTCTAATCTAACTAATCCATCTCCAGGTGGTCATCACCATGGTGGATTCAATCCTAACCCAGGACATCACCATGGCGGATTCAATCCAGGGCCAGAGCATCGCCATGGTGGTTTCAATCCTGGGCCAGAGCATCACCATGGTGGTTTCAATCCTGGGCCAGGGCATCACCATGGTGGCTTCAATCCTGGGCCAGAACATCATTATGGTGGTTTCAATCCTGGGCTAGAGCATCACCATGGTGGTTTCAATCCTGGGCCAGGGCATCATCATGGTGGTTTCAATCCTGGGCCAGAGCATCGCCATGGCCGGTGGTTTCAACCCTGGGCCAGAGCATCACCATGGTGGTTTCAATCCTGGGCCAGAGCATCACCATGGTGGTTTCAATCATGGGCCAGAGCATCATCATGGTGGTTTCAATCCTGGGCCAGAGCATCACCATGGTGGTTTCAATCCTGGGCCAGAGCATCACCATGGTGGTTTCAATCCTGGGCCAGAGCATCACCATGGTGGTTTCAATCCTGAGCCAGGGCATCACCATGGTGGTTTCAATCATGGGCCAGGGCATCACCATGGTGGTTTCAATCCTGGGCCAGGGCATCACCATGGTGGTTTCAATCCTGGGCCAGGGCATCACCATGGTGGTTTCAATCCTGAGCCAGGGCATCACCATGGTGGTTTCAATCCTGGGCCTGAGCATCACCATGGTGGTTTCAATCCTGGGCCAGAGCATCATCATGGTGGTTTCAATCCTGGGCCAGGGCATCACCACGGTGGTTTCAATCCTGGGCCAGGGCATCATCATGGTGGTTTCAATCCTGAGCCAGGGCATCACCAAGGAGGATTTAATCCTGGGCCAGTACATCATCATGGAGGATTCAATCCTGGGCCTGAGCATCATCATGGTGGTTTCAATCCAGGGCCAGGACATCACCACGGTGGTTTCAATCCTGGGCCAGGGCATCACCACGGTGGTTTCAATCCTGGGCCAGGGCATCACCACGGTGGTTTCAATCCTGGGCCAGGGCATCACCACGGTGGTTTCAATCCTGGGCCAGGGCATCATCATGGAGGATTCAATCCTGGGCCTGAGCATCATCATGGTGGTTTCAATCCTGGGCCAGGGCATCACCACGGTGGTTTCAATCCTGAGCCAGGGCATCACCACGGTGGTTTCAATCCTGGGCCAGGGCATCACCATGGTGGTTTCAATCATGGGCCAGGGCTTCACCATGGTGGTTTCAATCCTGGGCCAGGGCATCATCATGGTGGTTTCAATCCTGGGCCAGGGCATCACCATGGTGGTTTCAATCCTGGGCCAGGGCATCATCATGGTGGTTTCAATCCTGGGCCAGGGCATCACCATTTTGGATTTAATCCTGGGCCAGGGCATCACCATGGTGGTTTCAATCCTGGGCCAGGGCATCACCATGGTGGTTTCAATCCTGGGCCAGGGCATCATCATGGTGGTTTCAATCATGGGCCAGGGCATCACCATGGTGGTTTCAATCCTGGGCCAGGGCATCACCATGGTGGTTTCAATCCTGGGCCAGAGCATCACCATGGTGGTTTCAATCCTGGGCCAGAGCATCACCATGGTGGTTTCAA